CAAGTCACTGTTTTTATACCGACACACAGCAAAACAAAACACCAGTGCATTTTCCTGGCCCTTTTCCAAATTAAAGTGGGGCTGAATATCAGGGTGGGAGGAGAGCGGGTGAGAATCCAGGCTCCTCAGGGACAGCAGCAGCTGATTTATGAGTAAATTTCTTAAACAGAAGTCCCAGAGATGCCGTTTGAGAGGGACATTCCCAAAGTGGCTGCCGGGAAGGCAGGATGAGGGTGGGACTGCTCCTGTGCCTCTGCACCTCTAATTGCCATTATTCTTCAGGAATATAAACAACAGGAGCCACGGAGCAGAGAGCCATGAAAACTCAGCAGAACGAGGGCCTGGGAGCACAGGGACAGGAACTGCAGGTCAGGCAGGTTAAGGACTCATTTCTGGCTCAGCACAGCCCCTGTGTGAGGGCAGATGGGCAGGCACAGCCTGGGCTCTCTGCAGCTCTGCCCAGCTCCCCAGGACAGGCACCAGCAGCAGGCAAAGGTCTGTTTGCTTCACCTCACGTGCTTTTGCCTTCATGTGTCCCAGCTGACAACTGCCAAAGTCACCTGCATTTTTAAGAGAACATTTTTCCAAAGAAATCCTACCCTGTCCTGTTTGATCTGTTGTCCCATCCCTGGCAGTGCCCAAGGCCAGGCTGGGCAGGCTTGGAGCAAACTGGGACAGTGGAAGGTGTCCCTGCCCGTGGGATGAAGGAGCTTGAAGGTCACTCCAAGCCAAAGCAGTGCTTCCATGACTCTGGGATGCTGCCCTTGGATTTGGGATGGGGAGGGCCTTCAGGAGCAGAGCAGTGGGAGGAAGGTGCAGCATCACCCCAGTCCCACGGCTCTGGTGCACTGTCCCCTGTCCCCCTGCCCCACAGCTCCTCCCAGCCACTTGGAGAAGTCCCTGATAGAGAAAGTTAGAGTTGAAATTTCTCTCATTTTCAGGCATGGAAAGAGAAATGTTCAATTTTAACTGGGATGCCTAATGAAGATTTATTTATGTGGGAATAACCACTCTTCCTTGGAGCAACTGGGTTATTTTTTCATGACCACCAGACCTTAGATCTGCTCCTCATTTCTTTCCATACCCACAGAGGGCAAGAAATAGCCATACTTGGTCAGTGAGAAAATGAAATTAAATGCAAATAGACATGCACTGACTAAATCTGAGTTTCCCAAGGTTATTATTTCTCTAAATGCCAAGTCCCTAGGGTGAAGGAGGGGCAGCATCAGCCTGGGCCAGGGCTGGCAGTGTGGGGGGCTCAGCCTGGCCCATGGCTCCATCTCCCCCAGTGCCCTGGGCCTGAGGCAGGGATGGGCACCAGCACTGGGAACACTGGCAGGCCTGGAGGCACGGATGAACATGGGAGGGGTGCTAAACTGGTTCTGTCTCCTCGGCTGGAAGCACCCAGTGCCCCCTGACACAGGCAGGGACAGCTCCCACTGCCCAGGTCACCCCAAGCCCTGTCCAGCCCTGGACACTCTCAGGGATGAGGCAGCCACCCTGTGCCCACCCTGCCAGGGAGCAATCCCTCCCAATACCCCATCCAGCCTCTCCTACCAGTATGCAGCCATTCCCTTGTCCTTCCCCTTCCCCAGCTGAAGGACACATCTCTGCCAGAGGCACGGCTTCCTGCTCCATGCTTGGCTGTTTTCTAAGGAAGATGCTTTCTGCAGGGGCAGATAAAGACACCCAGCAGGGCACACAGACCAACAGGACACAGAAACCTGCTGGGACTCAGAAACCAGCACTGCTCTGGGCACCATCCCTGCCCTGGTGGCCCTGGTGCCTGGGCAGCCACAGCTCCTGGCACGGGACAGCAGTCCTGCTGACTCACCCAGTACAACTCCTGCCCAGAGCAGTTTTTCCATAAAAATAAACCCAGCCCTAATAAATAAATGCATTCCCATCGTAAAAGCCCGATTGGTGGCTGGGAAGGAAGAGCCTGAGCCCGGCAGCAAAGCCATTTCCCTCTGGATTGGAGACTTGGACTGTGCTCCAGGGAAAGCACATCAGAAGGAGCCCATTTCCCTGGGGAGGGGGACAGGGGCAGCAGCACCGAGGTGGAGGGACCCCAGCCCAGCACAGGCAGTGCTGCAGCAGCTGGGAGGGAGCGACACTCGCTCACCAGGGGCATTCAGGAACTGGCACAGCTCCTGGCACAGCAGACCTGGGGGATACACGAGCATTTAGCAGGGAGCCAAGGGCTTTTGTAAACAGAAGCTCAAACAAACATCTCTCATTTCACAGATGGTGCTCACAATTTACAGCTGGCACTTTTAAAGGCCACCTTGGACACATCGGTGCTCACGGCTGCAAATGGGACACAAGGAACACCCCAGGCCTGCAGGCCTCAACGTCTGCACTCCAAGGAGCCTCCCTCTGAAATCCACAGGAGTTATTTCCACAGCAATATCAGCAGGATATTCTGAATCAAAATATCCTCAGAATGACCCAGCTCCTTTCCCTGCAGCTTCCCAGTGTGGGCAAGCACAGGCTCCCGATGGGCTCGTGGGGTTTGCCAGGAGACAGCCCCTCCTGAACAGCTCCCCAGCATACAGCCCTGGTCCACAGCTACAAATTACACAAAATTGTGAAGAACACAAGAAAAACCCCAAAGCCCTGAAGCAGAGCTCAGGGATAGGTGCCACAGGACCAGCAGAGGATCTGGCAGCGTTTGAAGGAGCACAAACCCCAAGGCACCTCCAGACCCTCCCATGGCCACAGATCCTAAATGTGGGCAGGTAATTCCAGGGGGGCCCGAGAAGCCCAGCAAGGCAGCACCACTGCCCCAGCCCGGGGCAGAGAGCGTGGCTGCCTGCAGAGCCCACATTTCTCAGCTGCCTGCACAAACAGAAGTGTCTTTATGGAGCCACGATTTGGGCAGCCCCGCGGAGCCGCCGGACACTGGCACCATTCACACACCCTGCCCCAGCCCAGCCTGTGCACAGGGCAGGGCACTGCTCACCCTCCTCTTCCTCACCACGGCCAACCCAAAGCACCGAGGGCAGAACCCCACGGAGCTCTCAAACACACAGGCACTGCTCCAGGGCAAGCCAAGGGAGTGACAGCCACGCACACTTAGGATAAAATCAACTTAGCTGCTTCACTTCTTGGATTAAAGACATTTGATTTAAATATTTGGGGTCACATGGAATATTTGCCCTGTGGTATTAGCCCCCTTAGAACCACATTTCAAACTTCAGCTCAACACAGACCAAAACCCTGTATGCTCCTGCACGTGCAGAAATTATCTCATAGTCATTGGGCTCGTGGAAAAGCACCAAATGCCACCAGCACTGTCAGAGCCACGAGCTGCCAGTGCTGTCCTGCTCAGCCCTGTTTCACCTCACAAATAAAGGCTCTGGAACTGGCACAGGCAGCTGGTTCAGTGCCAGCCAGCTCACCGAATCCCTCGGGAGCAGCACGGCGCCTCCGCTCCCCAGAGCCCCACACAGCTTCAACTCAGTCATTCTGCTGAACTCCTCTGCAACCCCCGCTGAGAAAGAAATCATCAGGAAGAGGCAACTCTTGGAATCTAAAAAGTGTGAATTTGGCAACCAGTCCTTGTAAGGTCTCAGCAAGACCCAGGCTCACAAACCTCATTCTGTGGTAAGACACACTGTTTTTTCCCCCTTGAAGGATAAAATAAAGCCATCCTGCTGGGGAATGGGATGTGACTGACTCCAGAGCTCCAACCAGGCACGAGAGAGAAGCATCCTTACTCTGCATGTAGCACAAGTACAGCACAGCCTTGATGTGGAGGTGTCCTACCTTTGGGTGGTCTGTCCTGCCCCCAGGGCTCTCCTGCTGTGGGATGTTCCCCACGGAGCAGGGCTGGGTGTCCCAACCTTGCCCACGAGGACAGGCTGCTGTGGGGCTGCTGCAGCTCGGGGTTCAGTGGCAGGAGGAGGATGATGGAAGCAGAGCAGATGGTGAAGCTGGATGAAGGCCGTGTCTGTTCCACACTTACCTTCCTGCCTGGGAGAGCCCAGCAGGGCCTGGAGCCATCCCGAAGGCCAGAGTGAGAGCTGCACCTCAGACCCCAAACCAGCCCCAAGGCAACAGCTCACCATGGCCCAGCGGGGTCTGGGAGTGACAGGGGCCATGGGAGGGGTGACAAGGACGGTGTCCCTGCCCTGGGAGGGGTGACAAGGACGGTGTCCCTGCTCTGGGAGGGGTGACAAGGACAGTGTCCCTGCTCAGGGAGGGGTGACAAGGACAGTGTCCCTGCTCTGGGAGGGGTGACAAGGACAGTGTCCCTGCTCTGGGACAGGTGACAAGGATGGTGTCTCTGCCCTGGGACAGGTGACAAGGACAGTGTCCCTGCCCTGGGAGGGGAGCAGTGCTCCCACCACCCACCCCAGGGATGCGCAGGGCGTGCCCGCAGCTCCAGGGAATGGCTGCATCTCCTGCAGCTCTGAGCAGATGCTCACGTGGTGGGGAGGGGAGGCTCTGTGGGAAAGTGCTGCGGGGCTGGCCGGGCTGGCAGGAAGGAAATTCCCCCAGCGGAGCCGCCAGGGCCAGGGCTCCACAAGCTCAGGGACTTCATAAATAACCCGGCCGTCCCCAGGGAGGCACGGCTAAGGTCACTGCTTTTTCCCTTGAACTTTCCAGATGAAGGAAGCAATAGCAGAAGCAACAGCACAGATTTGGCTGGAGATCAACTGTACTGACAACAGTCACAGGATTGAACTCAGAAGAAAAGTCCTTTGTGTGTGTTGAGTTATCACCAGATGGGCCGGGCAGCACTGGGGAGCTCTGCTCAAAAATATTCCACATGGGCAAAGCCATCAGATGGAACCCATGGCAGATGTAACCCACAGCAACTAATCCCACTGCTTAGACCGAGTTAAAAATGGAGGCAAATGTTTGGTGCCCATTAAAAACTAAAATGCTACATTGTATTCTTCAGCAGACTGCTGAGGTTGAGAATAAGAAACTATTCTGATTAAGGATTAAGAATGGAGAGTCTATAAAACACTAATTACCATTGTACTTACAGGGAATTTGGCCTGTTTGGCTTAATTACTTCTACTTCAAGATCACTCGAGTTGAGGCTGGGCTGGGGAGCACTGTTGGAGTTGAGGAAGCTGTTTACATTTGAAGAGACGACGGATTCCAGGCTGGAGTTGATGATGCTGTTCCTGTTCTCCTCTAAAAAACACCAAAACCCAAGAATCATCAGCTGCCAGTGCAGACAAAGTGAAGAGCAAATGGCTGTGAAGGCATTGAGCATTCCCAGGAAAGCCTGGGCCAGTGCAAACAGGAACATCTCCCCAGAGCTCAGGCAGTCACAGACACACCGTACATTAAACCACAAGAAATCCCACGTACTCTTTGGCTCTTTTGGGTTTCAGATGCAGTGAGCATGGCAACACTGTGCATCTCAAAGGGCCACCACAGCACAGGCCCCTCCTCAGCTCTGCCAGGCCACCCAAAATCCCATTAACTCATTTCCAGGAGGTGCCTTTGCCCTTGGAGCAGTAATTGCAGTTGTGAGAAGCAATTAGCAATGCTGATGGCACGAGAGCAGCCCTGGGCAGAGAGTGGCTGTTTCTGGGATGCTGCTTTCCTGAAAGGCAGGCACCAGCTGGAAAACACACAGTCCTACTGCAAGGACACCTCTTTCCAAAATTATTTTTCCAGTGCACAATAACATGGTCAAACTACAACCCAAAAGCATGTAGTGACAGGGGACCCTTGCTCTCAATCCCTTTCAATTCCACCTCTTTTTGAGTGAGGAGAACGTGCAATATTAATTTGTATCCTGTGCATATATAAAGGGGGGTAAAAGAGTGCAAGAGGAACTCCTGGGTTGTGTGGAAGGTTAAAACTGAGCACACAGCAGAAGGAACTGCCTGTGAAACAGCCTGGCAGGAGGGTAGTCTTGGGGTGTTGGTGCAGCTCTGCCACCACTCCAAAGGGAAATGCCACATCTGCTCTGGAGCTGCTGCATTCCCAGGGACCTGGGCAGAATCAGCACCTGCAGGGCAGCAGGACAGGCCTTGGTTTAGCTCAGGTTGAGCTGATCTTCCAAGGATGTGAGATGCTGAAACATGTCAACGTGCTCCTGAGACTGGATTTCATTAATCCTCATCTGCAATGAGCCACCATGGGAACAAGCAACACAGACATTTCTTTGTCCCCAGCCCTGCAAAAGTTCAACCCTCAGGGCACCAGCACCTCGGGATGAAAAAGATGATCCATGCAGACGACAAAGAGGGAAAAGTGAAGAAAGGCAGAGTACTGACCTCCACAAATACTGACAGGCAGATGTGACAGCCAGCAGATGAAAAAGTAAAGAAATTAAGCTGTCTAAGGACCTAAAACCCTCAAATCCCTCTGGTTTAGCATCTGCCAGAGCAAGTTTTAGGCAGCCCACGAGAGGCCACCTGTACAGAGCTGGCCAGGTCCAGGGACTGCCTGTGCTGAGCCTGAGGAGCTGGCCTGAGCCCCTGGAGCAGGGACTGACACCAGCTTATCATCTGCAAACTTCTGCCCAAGGCTGAAGGCTGGGAATAAGCTCCATAAGCTTGGCAGCTCAGCTTGGATTGTCCCTCTAATCTCCTCAGCAGCCACAAGCCAAGAGTGGAGTCCCTGTCAGCCACAGAACTGGAAGTGCCTCAGCTCAGGGGGAGCAGGGCTCAATGGCAGAATCTGAAACTCCTGCTTCTTTTTATTGCTTCCTTTTTAAAAGGCTGAAACTTCATGTTTTTGAAAGCTCACGTGAAGGATTCTTTGCTGGGAGATTTGATTTTACAGCTCAGCAGGAGCAGAGCTGCCCATCAGCTCAAGAGCGTTTCCAGCATGCAGAGAAAAGAGCCTTTCACCCCTTACCCAAACTTCCTTTCTCTGGTGGGAAGTCAGGCAGGCAGAGCCACCAGAGCCTCACCAGAGCCTTTGTCTCCAGGAACCCTGGTAACTGCTCCAGGGCACTTTGGTGACAGTGACCCCAGGGACCAGAGAGGGGATGACAAAAGAGCTGATAAGGAACAAAATGCTGTTTGCTGTGCTGGTGACACTTGTGTCACAAGAGCTGCTCCCTGGGTCAGATGTGGATAAAAATGTAAATGTTTAACAACAAAATAATCACTATAATCATAGATTAATCATGATTATCTAACCTGCTTCCTGTGTCTTGAACATGATAATTTTTGACTTAGACACAGCTTGGTGTGATGAATGCTAGTGAAAAAGTTAGAAAGATATTGGACTTTGATGAACAGGATTCAAGTGATGGAAAATCCACTGTTCTATTCCATTTCTTTTCATGTCAAACTGCTCCTAGTCTTAAAAAATGTGCACCCTGCTCCCATTAAGAACATTTCTAGCTTCAATTTCAACTTTCAATTTCTGTGCTGCTCAGCTGGGCTTGAGCTGCTGCCTAAGCCCTTGTGCTTCACCCTGACTTCAGAGCCTTGGTCTGTCTCCAGACCAGTAAGAAAGGAAAGGAAGAATTAAAAAAGAAGAAAGGAAACCTCACATACTTCTCATGATGAGCAGCAGGGAAGGCAAATAAAACAGCAGTGGTTTCCCAAAGACACAGGAGGTTATAGACTGTCAGGAGGAACACCAAGAAAATGTTGCTTCACATGGGAATAAATAAATGCAGAAATAAAGAAAGGAGCTCAGTTCCTCTCCCAGGCACGGGGAGGGTGGACACGGAGCTTGGAGAGCCTGGAGGCTGACAAGCCACTGCTTAGTTAGCAGCAGATAAATAACTGGGGCTGAAAGTTTTCAAAAGCAGCGTTTGATATTTGAGGCTTCAGCGAGAGCCGTCCCACAGCATTTCCAGAGCACGCTCTGGGCCACCCCTGCTTCCTCAAACCCACGCGATCCCTCCGACACCTCCGAGAGGAGACTGCCTGCTGCTTAACAGTAACCTAATCAGACAAAGCCACGTGTTTTGGGAGTCAGCAAAGTCCACAGCAGCCACTCTGTGCACCCTGGGGAGCTGGCCGTCCCCAGCCCTCCCCTGCTCCTCGCTCCACTTGTGCTGTCCTGCTCACCAGGAGCCTCTCCTGCTTTTTTACCAAACTGGGAGAGCTCCCTGTGTGCAGCTGGCTCCAGGAGCACATGGGCAGGGAGAACCAGAGAGCTGGGAGTTGGGTTTACCCTGTAACATGAAACAACAGCCTGAGCAGACACATTTCTGCCACCCCATGAGCAGGGCTGGGGCCTTGGCTCTTTCACCCAAATATCTGGAGCATCAATTAGTGACAGAAATGGAAAGATGAGCTCCAACATTTTTAAACTGCCATGGTACATAATCCTCAGGAAAATGCCAAACCTCCTGGCCGAGTTTTCCTGTCTGTAAAAGGCAAAGTGCCCGAGGGCATCCCAGAAGGGCCAGCCTGTGGTGGCCGCCCTTGCCACAGGTGTGGCAGCGATGACGGGCCCAGGAACATGAGAAGGGGGCACGCAGGGGCCCGCCAGGTGGGGAGGGGACGGCAACACTTTATCCCGTGCTAAGGCAGCCTCATGTCGAGCCCCACTTAAGGGCTTGGATGCCAGCAGAGATTCCAGTCCCACCAACGCGACAGCAGAGGAAACCGAAGCCTGACCCTGCTATGGAACATCCCTTCCACTGAGAGCAGGAAACCCGCACGGGCATGGCACAGGAATGGCACGGGAATGGCAGTCTGGGAGGCAGGGCTGGGGCACAGCTGGGGCTGGAGGGCACTCACGCCTCTCGTGGGGCTGGGCCGTGTGGAAGAGCGTCAGCGGCCGCTCGCTGCACGAGGGAGGCTTCGACTCCGCGCTCTTCTTGCGCGATAGCAGCAGCTGCGAGTTCGGCGCCGGCGCCTCTGGCACCGTGTTGAATATCTGTTAGAAATAATAAACAGCTCGTTCTCTGGCACCACCCCGCGCAACAGGACAGCTGCCCACCTGCCCGGGCTGCACCGCTCCCCAGCGCAGCCTCTGAGCACGACGTGCACTCAACAGGGCAACGTGCCGGGGGCAGATCCCTGAATCCCACGTCTCCTCTCTGCCTGCACTCCTCTTTTTGTCACCCAAGAGGCACTGCAGGCTGTGAAGAAGCCTGACGCTCTGGCACTCTGCTGGCTTTCTGGGGGTGCAGGTGATGATGCAGCCCAGCAGGGTCCCCCCTGTGTCCCCACGATGTGACCCCGGCGCCCACGCTCCCACGGCTGCAGACCAGCTTGGGAAAGTCTTTGCAACTTCCAGCTACAGCTGTCAGAAAACTGAGTAATCACATTTTTCTCAAGGGGATGAAATTTTAAAACTGCACGAGCCCAGAGGGCAGCAGCCTTGCTGGTTGCTGATATTTGGTTATGTACTGCTCCTCTTCTGGACCCCGCAGGCTCAGAGAAGGGCAGTGACCCCTCCAGACCAGCTCTCTCAAAGTCCCTCCCCATTGCTGAGAGTCCATTAAACCCATTCCTCAGTGTCCTTCCTGCTCTCCTGCCCCTGCCAGACAGACAACTGGCACAGCCAGGCTTTCCCAACAGGAAAAGCACACGTTGGCACAGCTCTCTGCTCAAGACAGAGCTGGATGTGGACTCAGAGCCATGATGGCACCCCAGCCAGGGCAAGCTGCTTTCTAGTTCTGCCTTTGCTGCCCAAATGCACAAATCCGTTACTCCTTTCCAATCAAAACCAGACTAACAAAAGATCATAATCAGGGAACTGGCTGCATTTAGAAGGAAATGGTATTTTTTAAAAAGCACATGCAGCCAGGGAAGGATGGCCAGGACCTCGGCCCCACCGAGCCACCACTGCTGCAATGGCAGACCCCAAAATCCATGGCCAACAAACACAAATGCATCAGGATTCAGATCAACACTGTGGATAAAGCCAGTACTTGGATAAACCTGGATTTAGTCAGCAAAGCAGGAGCCAGCTGAGGTGTGCATCTCACTGGTTTGCTTTAGCCCTCATCTCCCTTGAAACCAGGGACAAATTCCCACTAAACAGTGGGAAGGGGGAGAAAGAGAATTTCTGTGATGGAGACACGGCCATGCTGACACACTGGGATGGCCATAAACAAGGCTGGCCACCAGCAGCACTGGTCACACAGCCACAGCCCAAGAATGAAGTGCCAGCTGCCCCCTGCCCAGCACAGCCCCACCATGGTGGTGCCACTGGCCATGGAGAGGGGGCTGCCACGGGCAAACAGAGACCAAATCCTTTCCATAAACCACTGACATGAAAGAAGCAAGGGAAGCCATTACCTTCTCGTGGTTCTCTATTAAAATTTCAATCACAATGTTCTGGAATTTGATGTCCATGATGGCAGCCACCGTTTCCTCCTGAGGTCGAAGCAGCGTCGGCCCAAACACCACACCCAGATTAGCAACAGTCATCAGGTTCTGCTTGTGATTATCTGCAACCCTGGGAAAAAAAGAGAAAGAAAATGAAGTAGGTGATGGAACTAATCCACAGGGAACCCCCTCCCTGCCTTCCCTGCCTCGTGGCTGGCACAAGGCTTACAATGCTGTTTACATTTTTCACGCTCCTGGTGAGCTCCTTGAAGGCTCAGCCATGTGGAAAAGTACAAATTTAACTGTTGTGTTCCTGGGGACCTTTCAGCCTCCATGAACTGACTAATCCCATAAAACCTCAACCCCGCGCCAGCCACTGAGCCTCACGCTGCAAACCACTCCCAGGAAAACATCTTGAATCATTAATGCTTCAAACCCTTCTGAAAACAAATTGTTGGACCTCTGACACATGCTGCTCTCCAACTCAATGAGTGACCTCATATGTTCCAAAGGCCAATTCCTTCCCAGCCATTCCAGCACCAGAGGTCAGTCCCATGTGGCCCAGCCAGGCTGCCTCGGAGGCCAAGATGGGGCTTTGCCCCCTGATCCCCATGTGCTCCCTTCTCCATGGCACAGGGACCCCCACAAAAGGGGACCCAGGGACACCCAAGCCTTCCTCCTCACCACCTCCATCCCCTTCAGCTCCCAAGAGGGCACAGAGCAGCTCAGCAAAGTGAAGCAGCTCACGCTGAGGAGGTGGCACCCTGCTTATGGTGTTTCAGGGGTTACCCTGGAGCAGCTCCAGCTGGCACCTGGTCTGAGAGGAGCAAAGCCCCAGCAGCCCTAACGGGGCATGTCCCCTGCTCTGCCTCCCCCCGAGGGGACACAGCAGCAGGGACACAGGCAGCACCCCTCGGCCACGCTGGCTGCAGGTGCCCAGCTCTCCAGGAGGGACAGAGCTCACTGGGCACCCTGGGCACTGCTGAGTCACAAAGGGACACCTGTGTGCCCCTGGGCACTGCTGAGTGACATGGGGACACCTGTGTGCCCCCTGGGCACTGCTGAGTCACACAGGGACACTGCTGAGTCACAAAGGGACACCTGTGTGCCCCCTGGGCACTGCTGAGTGACATGGGGACTCCTGTGTGCCCTCTGGGCACTGCTGGGACACATGGGGACTCCTGTGTGCCCCTGGGCACTGCTGAGTGACATGGGGACACCAGTGTGCCTCTGGGCACTGCTGAGTGACATGGGGACTCCTGTGTGCCCCCTGGGCACTGCTGGGACACATGGGGACACCTGTGTGCCCCCTGGGCACTGCTGAGTCACACGGGGACACTGCTGAGTCACACGGGGACACGTGTGTGCCCGTGTTGCCCGTGACCTGCAGTGCAGCCCTGCAGCCCCAGGAGTCTTTCTTGTGGTTTGCTCCTGACCTCTTCAACCAGGAAATGCGGCGGCTGCAGGCTGTGTGCTCACTCAGTTTAGCCTGAGGGAGTTTGAGTGTCTTTTCCTTCACTTTCTCTCCTGCTTCCCTGGACAAACGCAGCAGGCCAGCATGCAGTGAGGCTCAGCCTCACTTGCTGGACTGACCCTTACATTATATTGCTGTTTCTACCATTGACCCTGGGGCCAAGGCATTTGTGTGCAAGCTCAGCATATCTCAGCACTCTGCAAGCCCAGGCTGGCTAAAAAGAAAAGATGCTTTCCATCCTTTTCCATCCAAATCTCACCTGAACCAGCAAAGAGCTCATCCCTCCACACAGCTCCTCAGGCAGCAGACAGGAGTGCATCACAGGGGGGGCTCAGGGACTCAGGCCCCAACAGCAGCATCAGCCCTACTCACTGCCTGGGCGTCTCTCCATCCCCATCCCCATCCTCATCCTCACCACAGCCAAGAGCTCGCCGAGCTGCTCATGGCCATGCCAGCACCACAGGAGGGGAAACAAACTCTCCTTAGGGAGTCACAACCTCATGGAGCAGCAAGAAAGGCAGAACAGGTCCAGTAAGAAACAATATATACTAAATAATACTTATATACTAAATAATACTTATATACTAAATACTACTTACATGGGGATTCAAACCCACCCCCCACCCACATCACTCACAAATCCCAATGACATTTTTGCATTGCAAAATTGCATTTCAGACACACATTCACATGCTCCTAATTGGATATGGAAAAACGCAGCTGCAGTCCAAATGGATTTCAGAAGCGTTAATAAAATAATAATTTTAATGATCTTCTGTGGTTAGTAAAACAATGTTCATTTATAAAAAAACAACTGAATTGATCTAAGTCGCACAAAATTAGGTGCCTCCATTTCTCATTACCGTTACCATGTCCTACATCACTCTAATAAATTGCACTGTCATCAGCTCATTACAGGGAGGCAGCTGAGCGTGGTCCTGGCAATTATTTCAGACTGGGCTATTAATGGCTTCCCAGGCAGGACATGGTGCCACAGCAGCAGCCAGGGGCCTGCCCAGGCACTGCCCACTCACCCAGCCTCAGCTCCACCACCACACCCTGCTGGGGGTGCTTACCCTGCCTCTGGAAGCGTGGGAGCTGTGCTGCAGTGTGCAATCCAGCTGTGCAATCCAGCTGTGCAATCCAGCTCCCTTCTGCAATAAACCTCAGGGCCACACCAACTCCTGCTCTGCACCCCGGGTACTTTTCCAGCAATAGCCATCCCTGTACCAGGTCACCACAGCCGTGCTCCAAAACATGATTCACCTTTCACATCCTTCAAATTCCCCATCCATTACCCGCAGGATAATTCACTCTAAATTACACCTCTTCATCATCCTTTGTACGAGGAAATAACGCCGCGGTTTCTAAAGATGGGTGTTCTCAGCCCAAAGTGGGCTTAATGCTGGGGCTGTTCTGCAGGGACTGTCAGTGCCATTCCTGAGCTGCTCTTTAGAAGTTTTCCAAGCAGTCAGTGTATTTTCCTTTTAACCTGCTGTTTCTTTCTGGCCCTTGATGCACTCTGAGAGCACTGCACTGCCACTGATTTCTATGGGTGCTTTTTCTGCTCCCCGCTCTACAGGAGCCACTTCCAGCACAGGAGAAAGCAACAACTAACAGAGGAATGTGCAGAACCTCTTCACTTCACTCCTGCTCACACTGGGCCAGGCTGTCACTGGCTTTGGCACTCTGGGCTGGTCCTTTTTCTGGGGACAGCCCAGCCCAGGGAGCAGCGTCCCCCAGCCACTCCCAGGGTGTCCCTGGACACCACTCACTTCTCACTCCCTTCCAGCAAAACAAAGGAGAACAGCAGCGGAGTAAATCCATGTTGGGTGTTAAATTAGATTATGCCCGGGTTGCCTGGATACTGTATAATCACTGGCACGACCAAACACAATTTAATACAGGGTAATTGGTAGCCAAGGTTCAGGGCAGGGGAAGCAGGGAACAGTAAATATTCCAGTGTGGTCGCAGCTCCAGTGGGTGCCACAGGGGCTCCTGGCTCTGCTCCCACAGAACTCCTGCCTCCCGTGTCTGGAATTACTTCCTACATGTATTTTATATATGTATTTATATGTATGTATAAACTACTGTGTGTTTATTTTATATATAAGCACATCTTTTATATATAGAATGCATGTATCTGAATCTCAGCCAAAAGTGCCATTATTAGTTCAAATATCTTCCCTGATTCAGAACAAAACCCCTGAGCAAACAACCATCTGAAGGGAACAAAAGGAAAGTCTGGAGTGTTTCTATTTCCATGCCTGGGACAACCATTTGCAGTCAAAGTGCTTGTAGTGGCTGGCCTAGCAAATCCTCATAGGATAGAAAATAATGCAGCTCATTCCTCCTGCTACAGGTGAAAATCCATCCCCTGTCTGCCACCACCACTAGAGCTTCTGTTTAACGTGAAAAGCCAGCCACACAGAGGCCAGCAAAGAAAAATTATCCCCAAAATTATCTAGGCTGCTCTGGGTAGTTTGATGGCAATTGAACATCTTTGACTCTGGACATACAGGGAAGGTAAAGAGCAGAGGGAGTAGAGGCAGCACAGTGGCTGGAGAGTTCTGGGAAACGTTCCTGGGTGCATTTAACTCATCCCTGCACATCAGTGAGTCTAATTGGGCTGTGGCTGATGGGCACAGAGGTGGAGAGGGCAGAGGGGCCGGGCTGGCCACTGCTCAGCTGGCCCCCTGTCCAAGGGGCTGGTGCAGCCTGTCCCCAGAGATGGCAGCCCTGCAGCTCCCTGGGGATTACTCACTTCTCATCAAAGCCATGGTGGGTTTCCCAGCCTCGGGAACGTGTCTGATGGCTGGGAGTGCAGCAGGTGTTTATGGCAGGAATGTTGTGACTGGCACACAGCACGGAGCTGGTGACACCAGTGATGCAATTCCAGCTGCAGCAGCACCCACTGGTGTGCCAGGCAGCTAGATCAGTCAATCACACATTCCTAAATCGTTCCTAAAAGGCACATGTGCATGGGAGGAGGTGGCAGGGACACTGGTCTGCAGTGGCTGCTGGCACACAGCCATGGAGAAGCAGGCAAGCACACCCAGCTCTGCTTCATCTTGTGTTCAAAAGCCATGTGGATGTGGCACCTGGGACATGGGCTAGTGGTGGCCTTGGCAGTGCTGAGGGATGGCTGGTGATGAAGATCTCAGTGGGTTTTTCCAACTTTAAAGGCTGCATGATTCCCAAGCTGGAGCACACATGCACAGAGGCACCACACTCCCACACCTCATCACCATCCCTTCACCCTGCCTGCTCATCTGGACATCCTGCCTTCCTCAGGCTGCTCTGGATGCAGGCAGCCCTGCAAGGGCCAGAGGAGTCCAGAGCAGCAGGAGCAAGCTGGGCTCGCCCAGTGGGAGTTGGGAACATGGGGAACACAGACAAACCCTGCTGGCTGTGGGCTCACAGCTCCACAGCCTCCCAGCCCTGCTGCTCCAGAGAGGAGAGCCAAGCCTGAGCAGTGCACATGGAGGCCAGCAGATCCAGAAGGACTGATCACCAGGGAATGACAAAACCTCCCAGAGAAGACAAGGGGAAACTTGCTGAATGCAAAAGCCGTGCTGCTCTCGGGTTCCCTGCTCAGCTGGGACCAGACCTGTGCCTGCACTGATTCCGGCCGCTCTGACTTGCTCCAACAAGAC